CTGCGTTGCCTCCTTCGGGAGTGCCAGCGTTGCCCGTGTCAGATCCCGAGCTGACGGCCATGCTGTCTCGAGCCGCTGGGAGTATCGGGCTAGAATGGAAACCTCCATCCTGCCCCGATCTCTCGCGGATGGATAACTGGTATCTGGACAAAGCTGCCGCCGCAAGGCCACGGCCAACTCCGATACCTTTTTTCCCCGAGCTGCATGCGGAGTTATCGCGCTCTTGGGGGGCTCCTTTGTCCACTCGAGAGCGCGATCTCTCCCCCGCCTTTCCCCCCCTCGACGGTGGGGCCGCCCGTGGGTACACTGGGATGCCCCCGGTGGAGCGCTCTGTTGCGATGCAGCTGTGTCCACAGAGCGCCTCCACCCGTGGTCCTCCTAAGCACCCATCCAAAGCCTGTGGGTTCTCGTCTGCTATGGCAGCGCGAGCCTACAGAGCGGCGGGACAGGCGGCCTCCGCTTTGCATGCCATGAGCACTTTGCAGGTCTTCCAAGCGAAGGTGCTCAGAGACATGCACGAGGGCGGGACTGACTCGACGGCATTTAAGGAATTGCGGTCCGCCACTGACCTTGCTCTCCGGGCAACGAAAGTGGCCGCTCGCGCCGTCGGTCAGGTGATGGCCACTTCGGTGGTTCAGGAGCGCCATCTCTGGCTCAACCTGGCAGATACGCGGAGCGCTGAGCGGACTCGTCTGCTCGACGCTCCGCTCTCCCAGGTTGGCCTTTTCGGCGGTGCGGTCGAGGACTTCGCCCAGCAGTTCTCCACCGCTCAGAAGCAGACGGAGGCCATCAAACACATCCTGCCCCGGCGACCAGCTGCTGCCTCCACCCAGTCATCGGCGCAGGTGCCTCCCTCTGCTCGCCGCCGAGGACGCCCCCCTGCGGCTCCCCTCCCTCCCGCCCGGCCCAGCAGCAGCCTTCACCCGGGCCCCGGCGTCGAGGAGGCCGCAGGCCGGCGTCACAGCCCCCTCAGGCCGCTCGCCCCGCTAAACGCCAGGCCAAGCGAAGATCCTGACACGGGCCGCTCAGTGACGATCTCGAGTCTTTCCCAGGAGGCGGTAGCAGGCCCCCTCCTTCCCCCGGTGGAGGGCCGGGGGAGAATCTTTTGTTCTCAGCTCCCCGCTGCTCACCCACGGGTGGGCAGCACCCTGAACTGGTTAAAGAAAGACTTGACATCCTCACTGAGCTCACAGACTGGAGTGGGTGCGCTCGATGCCCCCGTGCGTCAGCCCACACACTCCTCTCTGTCTCTGAGGGCGCGGAAGGGTGCGTGTGTCGTCCCAGGGCTACACCAATCCCTTCCCCCTCTGTCGCCAGACCCCCGGCAGAACAGACCCCCGTGGAACGCTCCGCTTTCCCTGGTCCCTTCTGTCGGGGAGCGGGCTTCGACGCATCCGAGCGGGGTAACTCCTGCACGCGTGCCAGTCGACCCGCACCGCTGCCCCTCCGGGGGGACGTCTGTGGTTCGTATGACCCCGTTGGCTCATTTCCTGGAAGCCTGGCTAGCGCTTCCTGGGATTTCCCGCTGGGTCATCAGAACGATCAGACTCGGCTACGCGATTCAGTTCGCACGGTCTCCTCCCCGCTTCACGGGAGTTCGCTCCACGATGGTCGGTGGCAATGCCCCAGTCTTGAGAGCGGAGATTGCGACCCTGCTGGCGAAGGGTGCAATCGAGACGGTCCCTCCAGCCGAGGTGAGGTCCGGGTTTTACAGCCCCTACTTCATTGTCCCCAAAAAGACCGGTGGGTTACGACCGATCCTGGACCTGCGCATTTTGAACCGTTCTCTCCATCGACTACCGTTCAAAATGCTCACGGCCAAACGCATTTTCGAATGTGTTCGGTATCAGGATTGGTTTGCAGCGATCGACCTGAAGGACGCGTACTTCCATGTGTCCATTTTACCTCGACACAGACCGTTTCTTCGGTTTGCCTTCGAGGGCCAGGCATATCAGTACGCCGTTCTCCCATTCGGGTTAGCTCTGTCCCCTCGCGTCTTCACGAAGATCGTCGAGGCAGCCCTTGTTCCCCTTCGCGAACACGGGGTTCGCATCCTGAACTATCTCGACGACTGGCTGATACTAGCACACTCTCGAGCTCAGCTTTGCGAACACAGAGACCTGGTGCTCCGGCACCTAGCCCGTCTGGGCCTTCGGGTCAACCGGGAGAAGAGCAAACTTTGCCCCGTGCAGAGGATCTCTTTTCTCGGCGTGGAGATAGACTCGGTCGCCATGTCCGCGCAGCTCACGAACGAGCGCGCGCACTCACTGCTGACTTGTCTTCGACAGTTCGAGGGCAAGAGTGCGGTTCCACTGAAACTATTTCAGAGGCTCCTGGGGCATATGGCATCCGCGGCCGCGGCAACGCCGCTCGGTTTGCTTCATATGAGACCGCTTCAGCTGTGGCTTCGCGATCGAGTCCCGAGGTGGGCATGGCATCGCGGCTCGCTCCGAGTCCCAGTGACTCCGGCATGCCGGCGAACCTTCTTCCCGTGGTCGAACCTCAGCTTCTTACGGACCGGCGTCCCTATTCAGCGAGTTTCCAGGCATCTCGTTGTCTCCACGGATGCATCTACCACGGGTTGGGGTGCCATGTGCAATGGGCATGCAGCCGCCGGTTCCTGGACAGGAGCCCAGCGCCTCATGCACATCAATTGCCTCGAGCTGTTGGCAGTACGGCTCGCCCTACACCGCTTCCGAGCGTTACTCAAGGGCCAGCATGTGCTTGTCCGCTCAGACAACACTACGGCAGTAGCGTACATCAACCACCAGGGGGGTCTACGCTCACGCCAGTTGTCGCAGCTCGCCCGCCACCTCTTGATATGGAGTCAGAAGCACCTGAGGTCCCTTCGTGCAGTGTACATTCCTGGAGACCGGAACTGGGCGGCCGACGAGCTGTCCCGGGTCCGGCCCCTCTCCGGCGAGTGGCGACTCCATCCCCAGTCGGTCCAGCTGATTTGGGACGAGTTCGGGGAGGCACAGATAGACCTGTTCGCCTCTCGGGACTCGTCCCACTGCGCCCAGTTTTATTCTCTGACCCGCGGCACTCTCGGCTCGGATGCGCTGGCGCACAGCTGGCCACGGGGCCCACGCAAGTATGCGTTTCCCCCAGTGAGCCTCCTTGCACGGGTGTTGTGCAAGATCAAGGAGGACGAGGAGCAGGTCTTGCTGGTAGCCCCCTACTGGCCCACCAAGACCTGGTTCTCCGATCTCATGCTCCTCGCGACAGCACCTCCTTGGCCTATTCCTCTGAGACAGGACCTACTCTCTCAGAGACGGGGCACTCTGTGGCACCCTCGTCCCGATCTTTGGAGGCTGCACGTGTGGCTCCTGGACGGGACGAGGCAGGTTTGAGTTCGCTGCCACCTGCGGTGGCGGCAACCATCACTTCCGCAAGAGCGTCGTCCACGAGACACCTTTATGCGTTGAAGTGGAACCTCTTCGTCAATTGGTGCTCTTCTCGCGGAGAAGACCCCCGGAGATGTTCGATCAGTGTCGTGCTTTCCTTCCTGCAAGAAGGGTTGGAGCGCAGGCTGTCGCCCTCCACCCTTAAGGTTTACGTCGCGGCCATTGCCGCTTCTCATGAAGCAGTGGAAGGTAAGTCCTTAGGGAAGCACGACCTGGTCATCAGGTTCCTGAGGGGAGCGAGGAGGCTGCATCCGCCTCGTCCTCCCCTCGTACCCTCTTGGGACCTCTCGGTAGTTTTAAATGCTCTGCAGAGGCATCCCTTTGAGCCTTTGCAATCGGTAGAGTTAAAGTTTCTGTCCATGAAGACAGCACTCCTGGTTGCATTGGCCTCCATCAAGAGGGTGGGGGACCTGCACGCATTCTCCGTTGACGAAGCGTGCCTGGAGTTCGGGCCGGCTTACTCTCACGTGATCCTGAGACCCCGGCCTGGTTATGTGCCCAA